AATATTCTAATGCATGACAAATTTGATAAATATACTAAAATAATGAATTTTTTTGAAGAAAAAAAAAAATCTTTGCTTTTTTTTTACACTAGCAGCTAAACGATTTGTAAAACGACGTAATTTTTGTAAAAAACGATAAAGTTGTCCATGTGGAGCATATTCAAGCATAAAATAAAAACGTTTTTCATCATGAAATACATCATACATAGTTAATATAAGTGGATGATTTAATTTAAAACCAGATTCAGTTTCAATTTTAACTTGTTCAGCCATTGAATATTCATTTATTTTACTTTTATGAAGTATCTAAATTTAATTTCCAAAAAAAAAAAAGAATTAACAAAAAACAAAAAAAAATTTACTTTTAATGCACAAATAAATTTCGTTTTTTTTAATCGTGCTAAATAAACAATACCAAATGCACCTTTACCAAGTGGTCGACCAAATTCAAAATCATCAATTGTAAATAAACGATCTTCACTAAAAATAAATAATGATTTATCTTTTTATAGATTATTCTTTTCTAATCAATTTACTTTAATGCCATTTTTCGTATACTATTAGACATGCTTGTTTCAAGATGAGATTGACGAATATATTTTTGAAATATATGACTTGACATTGGTGGAGATTGTAATTCATCATCTTTAAGACTATTTAACCAATTTGGTAAATATGTATAGAGAGAATCACCATCACATTGTGCTACATCAAATGAAACTTTAACAGATTCAATATCGGTATAACTCTATGACATATGATGAGATAATATTAGAAATAGAAGAGATTTATTTTATTACTTGTTGATCTTCAGAAGTTTGTTCGAACATGATGATAGAAGTCTTTTTTGGTTTTTTTTAGTGCACAAAAAATGTCATGTCAAATATCAGAACAAAGAACAAAAGATTGTATATAAGAACAAAGACGCGCTATCAGCCATGACAGGTATATATATTTATAAATATTATTGTTGAAATCAAAGTAAAGAAATTTTAGAAATATTTTTATATAACTTTACTACTTTTTTTTGTTATAGATATGTATTCATTATTTTATATCTGGCGAATAGATGTCGCTAATGGCATAACCAGATGAAATTAATATATGTTAAGATAATGACAATAACATCCTACAAGTTCATGGAACTAGATCAGGGAGACCCTTATCTTTTACTAGAAATAATGAAACTTTCGACAGGATAGGATCGACTCTAAGTGAAATTGTTTTTCGTTCTATTTTACTCATCAGACATATGCATCGAAAGTTATCATTTTCTAGTATTCTGAAAATATACAGATAGATTGTCTTGTACTATCTTATTCACGCATCAAAGAAGATAATGTTGTTTTTTTTTGTCAGGAACTCGTGTAACTGCTTCAAATCAAAATGGATGATATATATATATATAAAGGCTTTTCACTAAACAATAATTTATTAAACCAAACTTAACATAGCACGCTATTCTAAATTTTATCGTCTATCTACTACATAGGACTAGGGTATAAGCTGTTTACTTCTGATATTCATAATGTAACAAAAGTATATCATATAGATAACATTTACCTTCTCCAATGTGTACGTAAGACAGTAGTTTTCAGCATAAAATTTCTATTTAAATAGTATATATGACTCACTTTCTATTGCTCTTACTAATGATTTATTAAACAATAAAACTACGTAAGTACTAGAGATTTCAAAATGAGTAGTTGGATATTTTTGAAAGAATGAAAAACGACATGCTGTGATTGTATTGCCAAAAAAAGAAAACTAAACAAGTCAATAGACTGATCTAAAATTTTTTTTCCTAATACACTAGAGACTATAGGATGTTATAGACTGATAGTCTAAATAGGATCCTATAATTCTATTATATATCATTATTCTTCAATTACTTTGATAATATAAGAATTTCGTTCAAAATTATTTCCTTTCGAGTTAGATAGATGAGTAAAACTTTCGCTTCTATTATATTTTCATCGTCCACCTGATAGAACAGCTCAAAGATGGTATTGAAGATTTTGCCAGTCATCATGATACTCAACTAAGCTTGATTTCACTCACATTCATTCATCATCAAATGATAATTATTTATTCATGTTCAAAAAGTAAAGAGTATCAATATTATGTTGTTCTCATCATTTTAATAATGAATAAATCTGCTCTATCTGAATTATACATGTTCAAAAGCCATTTTTCAAATGAAAGAATCATCTATTGACAATCATGACACACTTGAAGAATCAAGTCCATACGTATGAAAAGGAAAAACTTTTTTTGTCATGTGTCTATTCCTGTAAGTTAGAAACATTATTTCAATCGATCAATTAGTTGCTTTTATTCTTTAGGTGAAATGATTTGTGTACGAATTCAACTAATTATTCACATAAAAGTCTTGATAGAAGTAATAATAATAATAATACTTGAATAGAAAATGAATAAAGAACAAATCGATAGAAGTCAAATAAAAGCTAGTGCTAAGAAATTCTGTTCGAAATATCAAAATAAATGAGACAAAAATGCTTCCCTAATCATCGACTACTCATATTAGTTTCAATGAAGATGTTGCGCATTCATTTTCACATATATGTAGAGAATTGTATCAGAATGTTACCAACATTAGTAAAAATTGATCCGATTATTGCTCAAAATTCACATACACGTTCAAGTTTACTAGAAGAATGATTATTATTAATAAAAACTATTTCATTGAATTCAATTGAATATTCTTGGTCACTACTACCAAGTGATGATGATGATGATGGAACATTGACAGGTTATTTTACTCAAAGACATAATATATTAAGACAAATGGGAATTGAAGTAAGTTATTATTCATAAAAAAAAATTTTACTGAAGGTTACCTTGTTCAATAGAATATTTCTTAGAAATATATGACAAAAGAAAAAGATAAAAATAATAAATAAAAGCAGCAAACTCTATTGTATGTAATGAAACATAAGAAGCTAAACCAGAAAAAAAAACAAATAGTAATATAAATAATTTTACTATCAACAACACCATTATTATCAATGAGTTCAAATGTTACTTCATTTTATATTATCGACTCTCGTAATGTGCTTAAAAGTAATTGGATTGTAATAAAAAAAAAAA